TTGGCCATGGACAAAATAAGTTTGGACACCTCTGATGATATATTATTATGATGTTGAAAAAACTTGTCACCTTTACAAGCTGACTGTAATTATCAACCTTGTTTGTGCATATAATAAGGTTAACTCATTATGTTTGTAGTATTGCTACATACATCACAGTTTAGGCTATGAATTATTATAAATAGTATATATATTGTATTGTAAATAGCTTTGTATAACTAGAACCTGTATTTCAGTCTGTAACAATTATGACAAATGAAATAAAGCTTTATTTTATCTATACTATGGTTTAATATTATTTTGTATGTCCCTTTCCATTCACGGGGCCACAGGGTCCCAGACCTTTAGAAGGCGTACGAGGAGCCGAAGCCAAATCGCAGAGGCCCGTTGAACAGCTGTTTTGACATCAGCCGGCTATTATCCCTGTATGCACTATAAAAAGTGCATCCAAGGACAATCCCATTGGTTGATGCAGGACTATTCTGAAATGTGGTAAAAATTGATAGGGTTATGGATATGGGTTGCTATGGAATAGTAGATCTACTACACTGCTACAAGAGCAATCCCGGAAGTACGGTCAAGACCCCTACCAGCATCTTACTTAGATAGACCCTTCCCCCGAGTCTCCTTCAACTCCTAACTCTTGCAAATCTCCACTCAAGCGAGCCAATTAAGGCAAGAATGAGGTAGGAGGGCTTGTTCTTCATCAGTGTTCACTCCTGCTAGTCACGAGGACTAGCTCGTGCTCGCCCTCAGATATACACAGATGGCAGCAAAATTGATGAAGACGTCGGTTCTGCCTTGACTTGGTGGGAGGAGGGACGGGAGTTGGCGTTTTCCACTTTTAGTCTTGACCTTTCCTACACAGTTTTCCAATCAGAACTGTATGCTTTGAACAGAGCGGCTAAAATGGTTTGAGACAGCAGGGCAACAAGAGTTAACATCATGAGTGACTTTAGATCCTCGCTTGACTCTTGAATAACCCCAAGGTTACCCATTGCCTGGCAAAAGAGATAAAGCAAAACATCGAAACTGTAATGGAACAGGGCAGAGAGATTAGATTTTTCTGGTTACGGGCTCATGTTGGAACGGCCGGGAATGAGAGGGCGGACCAACTAGCCAAAATTGGAGCCAATAAACAGGATAACACTGCAGACTACTGTAGAGGGCCTATGTCCTCCGTTAAGAAGAAGATCCGAGAAGAAACCAATCAACCAATCATCCGGAAGTGGCAGGATAGATATACAACCTCCACCGCTGGGCAATTAGTGACTAAAACGTTTCTTCCGGATGTTACTGAAGCATATATCGAGTAGTGAGATCGACAAAGTTGACTCCTACTCAAATACAAGTATTGACGGGACATGGTGGAATAGCTAAATACCTGCATCGATTTAAATTAAAAGAAATTGCAGAATGCGATCCAACCATCAGTGAGTCTGTATGGCACATTATCCTGGACTGCCCTCGCTTTCTGGCCGTGAGACATGGCCTAGAGAAACAAATCGATGCGGACCTGGCGCCTTCTCTATTAAGCCGCATTTTAACTGACAAAACTAAAAGACCGCACTTCCTGAGCTATTTAGACACCATCTTTCGCAGGGCGGCAGAAAGAATGAAAAAGGGAGTAAAGCGGACCTATTTGGTTGTATTAAAGCTTCAGAATACCATAAAGTTATAGTATACGAGGACAGAACTGGTTTTTTAAGAAACTCAAGTCCTCACCGACTTGAGTTTCTTAAAAAACCAGTTCAGGGCATGCCGAACGTGAGTTCTCCGAGTGGCTCGGAGCGTTTACAGCAAAGATATTTGCTACTGAGCGCTCTGCAAAAAGAACAACGAAACCTAAAAAAGGAGAAACAAAGACTCGAATCACGAATCAGAATGTGAGCAACAACATCAGCCATGCTTAGTAACGGGACTTATTGTGTCACCATTCAGGAAAGGTACCTACACCTAAATCCACTCAAAACACCTATTCAACAATGTATTCAATCCAGGTCACCACTAACAAACTCATCTATGGGCCACGTTTGTCTGCCGAAACTTCGACATGCCGCCACTCCCAGAGATCATGTCATAAATGCTTTTTTCGAGTTTTATTTATTTATTTATTGAGCATTTTAATTTTATTAAACAACTAGAACATATATAACACATGGTTTACAACACTTAAGATAGTACCTAATGTTGCAGTCCACTGCATTATCCACAGATAAAACATATTTAATGATCAGTGGTTGCTACTAGACAAGTTTGCCAGACTTCGTGGCAAGGTAAATAATGAGACTGTAGATGGTTAAGGTCTGTTTATTACTTTAATTGCTGGTGCTTATATACTAAGAAGATGCGTGAGATTTTCAGATTTAGCTATCCTAACAAACGTGCAACAATTAACATGTATGTCTTATCTCTATCGTATCTAAGTAATGTAGCGACGTGATAGTGCCGCTACAACAAGCATCACCAAAATTAACAAATAATTAGAAACTAATAAATACGTTACAATAACGAAAATAAATCTCATGAAAGACAATTTCAATTACTTAAATTATGCCACAAAATTACTATTTAGTTAGAGGCAACGAAGCAGGTTGAATTGCGAAGCCATCCTACAAACATAGTTGCAGGGTAATGAGCTGATACTGAACGACAGACTCGAGGCTGCAGGAGCCGCCATACGACAACAATACATCGAGAGCATTGATAGGAACTTCGATAATTCGTAGTATGGCTGCTTATAATGCAACTGCAGGATTTGTATGGATGGATGAGAGGGAGTCTGATCGATGCGGAGTGTTGAATTTTAGAAATCCTTCCGAGGATTCTCTGGTGGTGGTGGCCAAGTGAACCAAGATTATGCTAGACGAAAGGATGTTGGAGATGGCATAATCTATTTCAGAATCCGAACCGGACGGCGCAATCTTTGAAAACTGGCCCACCCCAGAGTTTCCCGTCACGCGATATCACTCGTCCTCACTGATTACAGGATTTAGAAGCTGTAAGTCAATGGTCTGATCAGTTAAAAATCTTGGTAAATATTTTGACGCTTCGCTAAGCTACTGCTCTATGGACAACGAGTAGGTAACTGGTGCCTTGCGAAACCTAAGTTGGCTTAGAAAATGTCTTCCATCGTTGCAAGGCAATGCTTGTACGGTCCCTCATCTTCCCCATAATCGACTGTGGTGACGTGTGATACTGCACACAATTCGGACTTGCTCAACAAGCTTGATCGTCTTATCAACAACTGTATACACATAGGTAGGTAAGATTTATATTTAAGCTGCGCAAGTACGATCATGTTTCTCTGCGCAGGTCCGAGTTCCAATCCTTCATTCCCTCACCCCTCTTTCGTATGTAACGAAAATTTTAATTTTATTTTGTTATGATTATACTTTTTAACCAAAATATTTGCCTATACGTTTCCTTCTGTTTCTCTTACTTTATTGTACAGAACGGTCGACGTATCTTGGCGAGTCTGAAGTTAGCCGTTTGCCTGCGCAATGGATCTTTTAGGAGTAATATTGTGAACTGCGCAGCTAATCGGCTAACTTCAGACTCGCCAAGATACGTTGGCGGTATTGTACAAACCATGTTCGCCCTGAAACACCTTAACATCGGCCTAACAAGAATGCCAATGGCATTAAGGCCAACCCTATACGGTTTTGTTGCAAATACATTTACTTCCTACCTTTGAAGTAGGATGCTGAGAAATGAAAGTACTTTTCGAAGGGATTGAATGAAACAACAATATTTGTATTATGTAAGTTTACTGTTCATTTTATAATATGTTATTATAAACACAACGTCAACTAGAGCAGCCGGCGGCCTAGACATGTGAACACTCACTTGCAACAGGTAAACACAACATATGAACATAGAGAGCCACCGACTGCATATAAAAAGCTCAACTAACATAAGTTAATTTATTATAGCCGTGAATAATTACGTTTTTATTGTTGTCTACACATTTTGTATACTTACAATGCATAATATAGTTTTGGTATATCATTTTGTAACCCACTAAATAACATTGAGCAATTTATTCCATATAAATTATGTATACAATTTCGTGACATGCTATATTATAGGTACATACAACTATCCGCTAGTTAGTGTTTAACTATACACAACAATGTGAAGGTGCTGGAAGACGGTTCAATGCCCAGAGTCGAGAAGAATGGTAACAGTTGCACACGTAATACAGGTCGAGCTCAAAGTCAAAATTAACACAAATTATATATTTTATTCTCATAAACATGTTAATATTAAGATATAAAGTTTATAAATATGCCTCTATACTAACCGCTCAATGGCATTTATTTCCTGACGGAACTCAATTTCCCGCGCAAAATTTTTTTGACAGCTGTCACTTACACATACTTTTTTACTACAAACGTACAGATTATAAATGCCACGAATCGATTAAAAACTTTAGTAATAAATTCTAGACACACAAATAAGTCCACGCTTTCAAAACACGGTTACAATGCATAAAGTTACGCTGGAGACGCAACTACTTGGTGGTATAGGTTAGAGAGACTGCAGAGGTGTAGGACGAGCGAGTGAACTAGCTCAGTATAATAATAAAATAAAAGTAATAAATAGAGCAATAAATTAACAATTAGGTTTCTGAAGAAAACGTTTGTAATGTTATTTACCGATAACTGCGTCCCCAGTGCTTGCTAAACACATTAAATACAAAGAAATATTTGGTAACAACGACTTAAAGATTAACATATAGAAAACAAACAATGAGGATACATTCGTTAGTATTTACATTAAGTATATAATTTACACAAGTCACATCACTAACCGATCTATTAAATCTACACTTAGAAAATTAGTACATAATATACCGTTCTCATAGATTATATACAATTGTGTGGTGGGTGGGAGTAAATGTCTGGCCACTATACATTTATGGTAGAAACTATTTGGTCTTAACAATATTTTATTATAATTAAACATTAGTATCGATATATTGATAAAATAATAATATGTTTTCTTCGCGTCGTTTATTGTTTATAATTTGGATTGATATAAAATCTTGATTATATTTTTGGATATACGCTTCAAAATGTTTAAATGACTACGCTAATATTAATGACGATTAAATATTATGGCTGTAAGCCGTTTTAGGGAGTATAGATGTTTATAATATCCATAAGTTAGGTTACATGGGTGTGTGGTAGGGGTTAGAAGCGAGTGGCCAGGTGCATGCGTGGTGGGTGCGTCAGTACTAGTCAGTAGGACGTGTCGGTCGTCGGTCAGAGCTCGAAGCGCTTCTTGCGCTCAGCGACCATACCCGCAAGCGAGAAGACTGTTGGTCGTCCGCTCGCGGAGCTACGTTTTGATGCCTTTAGTTCTGTAAATAAAAAAAAACATATATGAAATGACTGAAATGTTACTTCAGTTTATTTATTCTAAGCGAAATTACTACATAGTATAAAGCAAAGTCGCTTCCTCTGTCCCTATCTCCCTTTGTAAGCTTAAATATTTAAAACTAGGTAATAGATTTTGATGCAATATTTTTTAATAGATAGAGTTATTGAACGGGAAGGTTTATTATGTATATGTACTATTTAAAGGATGTTATTAACATCGTTTAAATAGTGGACAAATTTTGTATTAGCTGGCACCCAACCGGGAAACAAATTAGTTAATATTATATAAGTAACATAAAGCGAAAAACGTTTGAAATATAAAAAAGACTAATTCATTAATTGACTGCACGGTGGGCGCGGTGGCTGGGCAACGGACTTTTGTGCAACGTCTACGGTTCCGAACGGAACAACTCTGTGTGATGTGGACAAATTGTTATTCCGGGTTTGGGATATGTCGGTAAACGCACCCATAACACAGGAGAAAATCCTGGTGCTGAACAATGTTTGTTTTTAATGCAGATTTATTTAATTACCTGAACGGGCGACAGCTGCAGGTTTCGCGTGCTCTCTGTCTTCGCGTACTGTATCTTGGCCGGGCGAGCCGGCCTCGCCGCTTCCAACAGCGGGCTCGCTCGAGACGACTTCGTCTATAATTAAAGATTCAAAATTAACTTGAATATTGTTACGTGCCTGACGTCACGTTCCTGACTATGCGGGCTTGGGCTACGGGATTGGATGAAATGAAACACTAATACCGGTTTTCAGACTTTCTATTGCACTTAAGTTACAGCGTCCACGGAGTTAAGTTATCGGCGTTCCTCTCCAGCAGAGTCCGGCCGACTGACACAACTTTGCCGTTCACGCTGACTTAACTCACTTAACTGACTGCATTTCACTATTTCACTGCACTTCACTATTTCACTCACTTTTCTTCTTTCTCACTTCTTCCTTTTCTTCCGAATCGCTTTAGACTTAGAACTCAACTGCCAGCGGTGAGCCGCAGTTCCGCTTATATACCCCCGGTCAGGTTCTGGAACATTCAATTTCGTTATTCTTTTTGATCGTCATGCCTCCAGAACCTTCCAATAATTTCGTTATTCATTTTTATTTATTCTCCTTCTCGCTCTTTAATTTTTCATTTCTTTCACACAAATAATTCCAGAAAGTTCGACAAAACTTCTATAAACTAAAAAACTTCATGTTTACGGTGGGACTCGAACTCGGGGTCTCTGTGGTGTAATCCACACGCCTTACCGATTACACCAACTCGTGTTGACAATTCACGACGAAATTTACAATCTCTAGGCAACGTTTGACAACCATCCATTGACGTCATGATGTCAAAGAGTTTGAACCACTTTTCCGTCACACTGCCCCCCTCTTAGATTCGCTCGTCCCGAGCATCGTTGCTGCCGTAATACCTCGCCAACCTGTCTATATGGACAACTTTCAAAGGGCTCCTTGAAGTCTTCCGAATTCTGTAAGTAATGTCATTGATCTTCGTTACTATCTCATAAGGACCTTCCCAACTCGGTTGAAGCTTCGGAGATTTTCCCTTCCTTCTGACTGGATTATGGAGCCAGACCAATGACCCCTCTTCAAACCCAACAGAATTGGCTCGTCGATCATAGCGCGTTTTTGCGCGATCACTAGCTTGAAGACCGGCCTCTCTGATCTGCTCGTAAATGTCCAACATTTTTGCCCTTAACTCGCTTATGTAATCGCTAAACTCAGTGCGAGTGTCGCCAGGTGGACAGCCCGATACAAGATCTGCCGGTAATCTCAATTCCCTTCCAAAATTTGCAAATGCAGGCGTCTTTGCGGTACTTTCATGTACAGCAGTCCGATAGGCAAGCAAGAAGAGAGGTATGTAAGTATCCCAATCTCTCTGATGGCTGTCAACCACCTTTGCTAAGTGTCGCTCCAATGTTTGGTTGAAACGTTCGACCATTCCATCTGACTGTGGATGATAAGGGGTCGTTCGAGTCTTATGGATTCCCAAAAGTTTACAAGTTTCCTGAAAAACTTGGGATTCAAAGTTCCGTCCTTGATCACTGTGCATCTCCAAGGGCACTCCGAATCGGGTGAATACCTCGTTTACCAACTTCGTGGCTACAGTTACTGCCTCTTGATTCGGTATGGCAAAGACCTCCGGCCATTTTGTAAAATAATCCATAACCACTAAAACGTAGCGATTGCCCGAATCAGTGATTGGAAATGGTCCAGCGATGTCTAAGGCTATTCTCTCCCAAGGCATACCAACATTGTAGATTTTCATCGCCCCCCTGCTTCTTGTTTGTGGACCCTTGACAGCTGCACAACTAGTGCATTTCCGGCACCAATCTTCGACATCATATTTGCAATGCAACCAATAAAACCTCTCCTTGATCTTCACCAAAGTCCTCCTAATTCCCAAATGTCCTCCAGAAGATCCATCATGGAACGCTTTTAATACATCCCTTATTTTTGAACGAGGCACCACCAATTGCAAATGCTCGTCCTTGCCGTTTGTTGATTCCCATTTCCTGCACAGAAGTCCGTTATGCAGCGTAAGGCTTTTCCACTGTGCCCATAAACCTTTCGTTACCGCGCTATATTGGGCGACGTCACTCCAACTTGGCTTGTTACCACTTCGTAGCCACTCCAGTATTGGTTTAATATCTGCATCTCTTTCCTGTTCTAATTTCATCGCATCATCTCCCCATGCCTCGTCAACAGTATCAGTCCTTATCACCTTAAGAAAAGCAGTTTCCTTCTTGGCACAATGCTTGCAATCTTCCACGCATGGGCGTCTCGATAATGCATCTGCGTTGCCATGAATTCTTCCGCCGCGATGTTCGATTTCAAAGTCAAATTCCTGAAGTTGTTCCAACCATCTGGCTACTTGACCTTCGGGATCCTTAAACTGAAGCAGCCATTTCAAAGCAGCGTGATCAGTTCTGATCAAAAATTTCCGTCCCAGTAAATACTTCTTGAAATGGTGCAGAGTTTTGACTACGGCCAGCAATTCCCTCCTGGTCACGCAATAATTCCTCTCCGGCTTAGATAGTGACTTGCTGAAGTAAGCAATAACCTTCTCCTGCTCACCATCGCGTTGTGAAAGGACACCTCCTATTCCAATATTGCTGGCATCCGTATCAACTACGAATATTCCTTTCGCGCTGGGGTATCCGAGAATTGGTGTGTTACAAAGCCGTTCTTTTAGTTTTCGAAAGGCTTGCTCACAATCCTCGTCCCAGATGAAGGCACGTTTCTCCTCTGTCAATCGATGCAAAGGCTTGGCAATGTCCGAGAATCCTTTCACAAACCGCCGATAATACGAGCACAATCCAAGAAATGCCCGAACTTGCGTTTTGTCTTTAGGTGTTGGCCATTCCTTAACAGCGACAGTCTTGGCTGGATCAGTCTCAATTCCTCTCTCAGAAATAACATGTCCTAGATAATTCACTTCGCGCTTGAAGAAAGAGCATTTCTTTGGACTCAACTTTAAATTTGCTCCACGCAGCTTGTCGAGTACCTTTTCCAATTTTCTTAGATGATCGTCAAAATCCCGTCCAACAATGATGATGTCATCGAGGTAAACTAGGCAGGTTTCGCCCAGCAGTCCCGCCAGCACCTGTTCCATCAAACGCTCAAAGGTTGCCGGTGCATTGCATAATCCAAATGGCATCACCTTAAATTGCCAGAGTCCCTTCCCAGTTGAGAATGCGGTCTTTTCCTTGTCCTTGGGATCCAAATCCACCTGCCAATAGCCACTTTTCAGATCGATCGTTGAAAACCATTTCATGCCACTCAGTGTGTCAAGTGTGTCATCAATTCTTGGTAACGGGTAGCTATCCTTCTTGGTTACATCATTCAATCGTCGATAGTCTACGCAAAACCTCGTTGAACCATCTTTCTTCTTGACAAGCACGACAGGTGAACACCAAGGGCTAGAAGAGGGCTCTATCACGTCATTTTTCCTCATATCGTCAATCATTTGTTCAACCTCTTTCTCACGAGCGAATGGTATACGTCTGGGCCTTTGACGAATTGGCATTGTATCACCTGTGTTTATTTTATGCTTCACCAAACCAGTTCGGCCAATATCACCATCGCTTCTTGAAAACACATCAGAGAATCGAAGAAGTAAATTTCTAGCTTTCATAGTCTCCACTTTTGTCAGACTTTGGTTTTCGTCTAAGATTTTCGTTACAAAGTCTATTCCCGTACTGTCCTTCTTCACAAGATTTTCCGAGCATTTTCTTATCCAGGCCACTTCTTCCAATACGCCCACAGGCTCTCCTTCTTCAATCGTAATTTTTGAATCACTGAAGTTGAATACCGGAATGCGGTTGACATCAGATGACCCCACGACAGTTCTTGCCGGTAGCCATGAGTTTACGTGTTCCGATTTATCAATCACAGCGCACCTTCGAGGTAAACTTCCTTCCCTCCTCCTAGGTAATGCAATTGGTACGAGAGTCTGTGATTTTGGTGCAAGAACAGTTCTTCTTAAACAGCAAACTTTTCCCAGGGTTCCACCCTTCATCGGAATTTCCTCAGTTCCACATAGTAATACTCCAGATTTTAAGTCGATGTTACACTGGTGCCCTTGCAGGAAGTCAAGTCCCAGGATGCAGTCATCCAGAATTTTGGCCACAATAACCTCATGTCGATAAACACGTTCCCCAATTTTGATTGTTACATGCAGTTTTCCACTTATCGGTATGCACTGGCCGGTAGCTGATTTCATTCGTAGGCCAACAATTGGTTTAAGGTGTTTCCTGATGTTGTGCTCGAGCAGCCGAACATTTATCACCGTCCTTGAAGCTCCAGTATCTAATGTTAGCTGACTGTTTTTCCCATTTACTTGACCGTCTATCACCAGTGTATTTCCATCGTTGGTTTGCTTGATGTAGATTGTTGGGGTTGTTCCACTTCCAGCCAGCGCCCACCCCGCAGCCTTGGCTGGATTTAAGTTTCCCTGCTGGTCAGAAGTTGAGACCGCCGCGTCCTGGCGGTTCATCTTCTTCGGGCAGTCGCTCCGTATGTGCCCACGCTCTCCGCATCCATAGCACATGAAGTTCCGACGGCGTGGAGGTACCTGCTCCGTTGTCGTCATTTCCCGCAGACCTAAGGTACGGGGGTTGCCACGCACGGCTTCCACTTCCAATGCATGGGCCAGAGCTTCTTTCATGTTCTTGTGATGGCCCAGATGAACAGCAGCTCGTACTTCGGGGTCCCGAATACCGTCAATGAATGCTTGGAGAAGCGTGCCTTCAATCATTGACGGAGTCGACCGGAAAGCTCGACGCACAAGTTTCTCGATTTCCACGGACCATTGCTGTAGGCTCTCATTAGCACGCTGAGTACGCTCTTTTAATTGCGCTCTGTACACGTGCTCGAGGTGGCTGTCTCCAAAACGTGCCTCCAGTGCGTCGAGGAGGGCACTAAAGCTGAGATCCCCACTTGCGCCGATAGCTTCCAGCACTGAGAGCGCTTGATCACGGAGGGCCAGGGTGAGGGCTGACTGTGCTTCCTTCTGAGTCCAACCATAAGCCTCCATAAGTGTCTCGAACTGTAGCTTGAACGCGGTCCAGGATGTTGTTCCGTCGTAATGGGGAATCTTGAGCCCTTTCGTTGCGCTTGAGGCCGCATTTGGGGCGTCAAAAACGGCTGCAAGACGGCTTCGGCTCTTCAAAGGGCCTGGGCTTGTCATTTCCTGCTTGATTTTGGAGATCTCTTCTTCCACTCTCTCCTCTATGGCCATGACGCGATGTTCCAACTTGCCTAACCCTTCCTCCACTTCCTGTACCCGTTCGACAGCCTTTTGCAGTCCCTTCGTGAAATCCTTATGCATCTCTTTCAGCTCCCGTAGCTGCTCCGCCTGACAGTGTGCTTGCTCCCGTAGCTGTTCTGCCTGACAGCGTGCTTGCTCCTCTTGGCGGCGCGCTTGCTCTTCTTGGCGGCGCGCTTGCTCTTCTTGGCGGCGCGCTTGCTCTTCTTTCAGCTCCCGCAGCTGTTCTGCCTGACAGCGCGCTTGCTCTTCTTGGCGGCGCGCTTGCTCTTCTTGGCGGCGCGCTTGCTCTTCTTGGCGGCGCGCTTGCTCTGCCATCATTTGCTGCAGCTGTAGCAGAAGATCCACCTGCACAGGCTTGGCTTCTGCATCGCTGGTTTGAGCTGCAGCGCCCTCTTCCCTCACACGCTGCGCTTCTGACATTGAACGGGTACTCACTCCTCTTACGTCCTGCGGCACTAGCGGCATTTTTCTCCAATCCCACTTCTGACACCAAATGTTACGTGCCTGACGTCACGTTCCTGACTATGCGGGCTTGGGCTACGGGATTGGATGAAATGAAACACTAATACCGGTTTTCAGACTTTCTATTGCACTTAAGTTACAGCGTCCACGGAGTTAAGTTATCGGCGTTCCTCTCCAGCAGAGTCCGGCCGACTGACACAACTTTGCCGTTCACGCTGACTTAACTCACTTAACTGACTGCATTTCACTATTTCACTGCACTTCACTATTTCACTCACTTTTCTTCTTTCTCACTTCTTCCTTTTCTTCCGAATCGCTTTAGACTTAGAACTCAACTGCCAGCGGTGAGCCGCAGTTCCGCTTATATACCCCCGGTCAGGTTCTGGAACATTCAATTTCGTTATTCTTTTTGATCGTCATGCCTCCAGAACCTTCCAATAATTTCGTTATTCATTTTTATTTATTCTCCTTCTCGCTCTTTAATTTTTCATTTCTTTCACACAAATAATTCCAGAAAGTTCGACAAAACTTCTATAAACTAAAAAACTTCATGTTTACGGCGGGACTCGAACTCGGGGTCTCTGTGGTGTAATCCACACGCCTTACCGATTACACCAACTCGTGTTGACAATTCACGACGAAATTTACAATCTCTAGGCAACGTTTGACAACCATCCATTGACGTCATGATGTCAAAGAGTTTGAACCACTTTTCCGTCACAATATTAATGTGAAAAAGGACTTAAGAAAGTATAGAACCAAACAAAAAACTGCTGCAAAGGAAATGTTTAAATTAGGCATAAAAAGCAGTTGATTGTTAACTTAGGATTGAAAATTTTATTAAGGCTGCAAAAGCTTGGTTTTGGGGAGGTTTGTATTGCGTGTGGACAAACTCAAAATATTGGGAATCTTATAGTTTAATTAATATCTTTGTTGAACTGGACTATAGGGTAGGTAGTAGTCTAATTGCCACCTTTAGCACAAACAAACTATAAATCACAAAGCGAGGTATGAGAAATAGTCGATTATTAAGGTAGAAATACACAGGAAAATAACATTTTACCCTGTTTAAAAGTATCCAAAAACCTTTTGAGTATAAAATTCTTCACTTTATAATAAAAAGAAAACATATCACTTCATGCGTTAAATAAAACATGCTCTTAAAAACCACAGATTATCCAAAGACTCCTTTAATAGTCGACTAAACCACAACCATCCCCTTAGCTTGGCATGTAGCGAAGTGAACGCGTACCTGTATCGGCGGCAGGTTTCTGCCGGGCGGGCGACAGGTGGCGCCAGTGCTCCCCCAGCGCCGGTGGCGCCCTCCCATGCTGTTAGTGCACCCCATACATGTACCGTTATGCCAGATTGCTATACTATCCATATATCTACACTTCGACCATTAATTGCGAGACTTATTAATTAGAAGCCATTGTTTTATGTTTTTATGATACCGCCATGCTTAACGTACCCTAGGAATGCTTGCGCGGTGGAATCAGGAGAGAATTTAACAAGTATTGACTAAGCATAACCGACGATTACCCTCTCTCTCCTCCCTACCACGCTGCATGCATACCTAAAGCGCGATATAGCAGTAGCAGTCAAATTTTATAGAAATATGATGTACAAACATCAACCTCCTCCAATACTGTCAGTAGATTATCAACATTATTACCTAGAAAATAGGATTGAAAATCAATTTTAGACCTTGAACTTGGACTTTGGAGGGGGTTGATATGCGTGCGTGTCTATTTCTTACGTGCATTGCAATGTCATGAGTGAAAAAAGAAGATAGAACAACTTGCAATGTTTTGCAACCGAAGTGAAGCCATTTTCATGCATTTGTTTGAAGTTATCGTTAAGTCAGTATTGTCTCCAATTTAACGTTCGAAGTTTTGTGCAAAAGTTCCATTCTACATTGCTGAGTGCTTGCGTTAATTTAATTATTTTTAAACTGATCTAAAAGCGGTTACGCGACACTGGTTTTAAGTAAAGATCAAGGTATATCGTCACAAGTATAGAAAAGATTTTAATAAAACTTGGTATTCATGAAAAGGAACATTTTCGAAATAGTGTAGAAAGAGACAGTTTGGTTTATATTTATATAGTTAGCGGTGACTAAGCAAACATAAAAAGGTTGTATGAAAACCAGTGTCGCGTAAGCGCTCTGAATTAAATATTGTGCAAAACATTTGTACTGATTTAAAAAAAAAAAAATTAGATTAATTTTGTTGTAGGATTTTTAAAATATTAATTTAGTTTGATTCGTTGTAGTATAATTGAAAAAGAAACAATCTCAATCAGTGCCATAAAAGAACCAATTTCGAAAAAATATCGTCTAATTAATGTTATCATAATGTCTACAAACTTTAATGAAATAAACTAAATTCAACCTTATTGAAGTATACCAATATGTATCAATATCCACAAAAATAGCGATACCAACTAACAAATACTAATAAAACAAAGTAAAATGTTCTATAAAACTAACAACCTAAGGTACATTTTCAAGCGTGAGTGTTATTTAGCGTTTTAGAGTAGTGCGTGACATGCAAGCGTGGCCATAGACTATAGAGTAAAAAGAAGCTCTAGTACAATCTCCAAGGGTGCAGAATACACATCAAAATACACCAATGTATTATATAATTAAACCTTAATATAATAATTAGCCGGAAGGCTAAACAAAGGACTGCCAAGTTTGAGGGGCGGGGTTGCCATATCTTGGCAGGAAGAGAGGGCTTGGGGGATATTTTGGCATAATCCCCAGAGCTAGGAGAAGAGGATTGAATTTATCCTCAAGTTTACATAGAGTAGCCAATGGACCACCACAGACGGGGTCACATAGGGCTGATGTGCAGCCTAGAGCAGGAGAAATGATTTGATGATTTTCCCCTTACATTTATAAAAAGTTTTACATAGAGCAGTCGAAGTTAAAGGTACCATGGCGTCGACCCATAGCAGAAGAAGGAACGGGGAGATTTTTAGTCAGTAAGAGTCTGACACTTCCTCTCGCCTCACCATGGACGAGAGAAGACATTTGATCAGTTTTACATAGAGACGTTTATCAGAATCCCCAGGAAGGGTGGGAGGGGTTGATAGGTTAGCCATAGATCCTACGTTCGAAGTAGGAAGGTTGCCATAATTCGCAAAATCGGATAGAAGGTTGACACTACATGTTGGTCGTGTAAAAGGGTCAGGTTTAAAAAATATTGATTATATATTTTGGTGTAATTTGTAGTGCATTTGTCTCGTGTCATCTACATTATGTGTTTAAAAAGTAATGTTATGTGTAGCAACGTACCGGTGCAGTTTCCTCTATAAGCTGGGAAAGAGTGGACCCCTCTGTGTTTTTCATTTCATTCGCTTCCGATATAAGATGCGCTCGGAGTTGCTTGTTTCTGGAATTTGAATAAAATAATGAATGAAATAAAAATGTAAAGCAGTCAGATAGGAACATAACTCGAAAAAACTTTATCTCTATTCATTGAATAGTTTTTTTTAATGTTAAGTTTTTTTCAAGAATGAAAACAAATTTTTGAAATGAGAATTAAAGAGTAATGAAAAAAGTTCGACTAAATTTTAAAACATGAATGTAATACGTACCTGGCATCCAACTGCATGATATGGTTATGCGCCTGCGCAAGTTGCGCAGTGGCAGTAGCAAGTCTCTCCTCTAACGCGGCGGACTCCACACACTTGACGGAGTACTTCTCAGAGAGGGAGAGGATCTCCCGCTTTATCTCCTCCATCTCCTGCCTGGAAATATTACTAAAAGACTTTACTATTTGGTGAACGGAGTGGGAATTAAGGATACAAGGGGTAAATATACATACACAGGTATCTGTTGCATATTTGAACCCAAGCTAGCTTCTTCGTTGTGGTTTTCATTTTCATTTCTGACACAATAAAAGAAGATTCGCTTTATTTATTGCTTTTTATAAAAGTAAACAAAATTGTATATTTTATTGTATGTGCAATGGAGGGTAAAAAGTAGGTTGGAATGAATTTTAGAGTAGTCAAAGGAGTTGGGGCAAAAGTCTATTTCTTTATACATAAACCAAATCTAGCCTTGAAGTAGGTGTATATTGTGTCTGCATCGACTAACAAAACCCAAGTAACTTACTGGTGTCGGGAGCTAAGCTGTGTGAGGTCCCCATTATGTCCTCTGCTGAGGAACTCCGCCTTGAACTTGTCCACCTCCCTCCTCACTTCACTCTCGTGCGCCTTCCGCATTGCGTCGAGTGCGGCTAACGTCGCACGGGTCTCTTCTGCTAACGCTTGCTCTTTGTCTAGCCTGGAAGGGGTAATTTTGGGATTTAATAAATTGTTTAGACTTAAATAATACATAGATCAGTTTGGATAATTTAATAGATTAGTTTATTTACGAGTATTGCGGTTATACCTGAGTTGTTCCCGCTCGGCGCGGTGCTTGTCCTCCATCTCCCGGACGATGCGGCGATGCGAGGACTCCATGGCCAGCAGCCCCTTCTCGCACAGCGCGCGCAGCTGCTCTATCTCCTGCTGGTAGCGCGCGCGCAGCCCGTCCCCGTGCGTGTCCGCCGCCACCGCGCTCTGTCACGTCATAATTATTATTTTACTACACTGACCGCGAGCCATACGATAGCTGTAGTCGAGCATGTGGCGATGATTACCTGGTAAGCGGCTCGCAAGTTGTCTAGCTGCGCGGAGTACTCGGAGTCGAGCGCGGCCAGACGGCGCTGCAGCGTGCGCGCGCGCTCGCGCAGTGCGGCGCGCTCCCGCTCGTGCTGCGCCTGCAGCTGCGCGCGCGCACGCCGCGCCGCCGCCAGCGCGTGCGCCTGCTGCGCCAGCGCACACTCGCCGCGCGTGCGCTCCTCGTGCAGCCTGACGACCATATTCCTTACTGTTAGCCAACCTATACTTCACGTGTTTCTACAGTTACAGCTTATCGAATGTGTCACTGACCTGTCCAACGCGTCCTGCAGCTGCTTGCAGTGCTGGCAGGGTACCAGCGCTTGCAGAGCTTCGACACGCCGGCGCAGTGCGTCGATGCGATCGAGCACGCTGGCGCCAGAGGGCGTGGCGTCGCGCGGACTGCCCTCCCGCGAGGTGGGCGGGGCCCCCGGCTCATCCCCCCGCGCGCACAGCTGGCGCTGGACCTCGGCCACCGCCGCCTCCACCCGCTCGAGGCTCTCGCCGATCTTCATCGAGTCTTCACTGTTACCCGAACAGTCACTGGAGAAGAGCGCTCGGCACTCGGTCGAGAATCGTTGGAAGAGGTAGACGAACTCCGCCTCTTGCGCGGGGTCCGCCTCCAGCGAGGAGATGGTGTCCTCGGCTGAGCGGCGCGGGCCTGTGGGCTCGCGCGGGCTGGAGGCGCGGTACGTGCCGTCCAGCACTGCCACTCGTGCGTCCACCAGCGCTCGCTGCGCCAGTGCCTCCGCCAGTTGCTGCAGAAGCACGCGGCTGTCCAGCCCTGGGGAGCCCTCGCGCGGCCTCCGCTCTGCAGCCAGACAGCTGCGGTAGCGCACGGCGATATCCTTGACGGCGGCGTCCATCTCGCAGCGCAAGTGATCGTGCGCGGCTTGCCACCAAAGCTCGAGGTCCGCGCGGTCTTGAGCTGTGAGAGTGAGGCGGGCGCGACGCGCTTGGTCCAGCCTCTGGTCGCAGGTGGCGGCGGCCCGGGCCAGTGCCCGCGTGACCTCGGCCTGCACCAGCTCGGCCCCCAGCGCGTCCCGTGCAGCAGCCCAGGCTTCACGCACGCGCGCTGCCTCCAGATTGGCTCGCTGTCTCTCAGTGTCACCGTCAGCCGGAGCAGAGTAGCTGAGAGTCTCGCAAGCGAGTGCGGAGCACAGTTCAGCAAGTTTCTCGCTCTTATACCTGTCGACTGCTTCTGCAACTTCGCGCTGTGATGCCTTCAGCGCCTCGAGGTCAGCTCCGTGGATGATGAGCTCGGAGCGACGTCTCTCGTGCGCTTCCCGAGAGCCGTTGACGATGTCAATCTTGCGCGTGAGTATCATGGCGAGGTAATCGAGCGAGCTCCTGGTGCCAGCACTGCTCCTGCTGCTCTCGCCATTGATCTTACGTTTGAGGTTATCTATAAGTTGACTAGTTTCGATAATTTCAGACTTTATCAATCGCGCGAAGAATCTGCTGCCGTTTGAGGACTCTAATGCCTCCTGTATCCTGCCGACGAGGACTGCTTCGTAAGCCAGTTTCTCAGCCAATATCTCAAGGCTCTTCCTCTGTGTCAGTTCTCCTGCCTCGTACAATGCCGCTTTCCTCTTGGATATCTCCAGCAGCTTGGTCCTCAGTTGTTCTTCCAGCTGTACGACCACTTGAGCTACGCTGTCGTTCACATCTTCCTGGTTTTGGTTCTGGTCATAGTCGACTACGCACTTGTCGAAGCACTCTTGTAGCCTCTTGCTAACGTCTGTAAGGCACTTTTCCATTGACTTGAGGCTATATTTCTTTTCCAGGCTCGGTGAGGGTGATCTGCGCGACTTGGCAGCTCGCATCGCACTCATTTGGCAGAGACACTCATTCACCTTATTTCTGGAGTGTATCACTACGTTCTCCAGACTCTGTAGCCTCTCAAGCAGGTGCCTCTGTGACTGCGTGCCGATACTGGATGCTTCAGAGCTCTCGTTGAGTGGTGGGCTCTCTACGGATCTGGTTGCTTGACTCAGAGACTCGCAAGAATTTGTTAGGTCCTTACGGTTCTCTAAAGCGGAAGCTACTTTGGTTTCTAGCGAGCTCAACCTGACCAGCATCTTCATTGGCTCAGAACTGGTCGCGCTGTCCAGAGATTTCCTCCGCAGACGCGCAGCGAGCCGTTTCATCCGTTTTTCGTCCGATGGGTTTTCAGATTTGGAAGATTTTTCTTTGGCAGGTGACGCACTTTTGGATGGAGAATTAATCGTTGGGACTGGTTCGCCAGACTCCAGCATTGTGATTTTGTTTTCGAGCTCTGTTAACTTCTCTTCTACTTCTTTTCCTAGAGTAAACGACTCTCTGCCTTTCAATGATAGACTTCGTCGTTTCTCTCTGGATTCAGACTTTTGGATTTTGTGTTTGAGTGTCCTTACTTGTTTATCTGAAGCTGTTAACTTCTGTGTGAGGTCAAGGATTCGAGCCGCCATGAGATCTATCTCTGAGCGGCTGCATTGCTCTCTCAGTTTCATCTCATTCCTTAATTTCATGTTAGTGACTTCGAGTTCATCATACATGTTATGTGAATCTCGTAGTTCTTTCTTCATGGCTTTGATTTCTTGTATGGCCTTCACAAACCGATCTCTTAGCTCTCCGTACTCTTCTATAAGTTTGTCTTTCTCCATCGCTTCTAGGTTCAAGTCTTGGTTCAAGTTCGTGAGATCACTGAGAGACCCGATACTCTTTCTCTTTTCCTTGCTTGGTAATGTTGATTCTACAAGAGTTCTTCCTTCAAGATCTCTTATCCTTGAATACAAGCTATCATTTTCCCTCACACTCTTAAGCAACTTTTCATTTAGTTCGTTCACCTCTCGTTGCAACTGAGCGATTGTCTCCTGCGCAGAAGCTAACTGTCTCGTGAGTAGCTCACAATGTTCTGTCGACTCTTTTAAGAAATTCTGCGTCTCCGTCAGCTTGTTCTCCCAAAGGCTTTTGTCTTGATTGTAAAGTTCTTTTATCGCGTCTAAGTTTTCAGCCTCTTTCGTTCTTACAGACAGTTCTTCTTCTTTCTTCTGCAATGCGGTTACCAATTCCTCCATTTTCTTCTCTTGCATAGCAGCGTCGGTTTTAAGTTTTTGAAGTCTGGAGATCTCTGCTTCCGCTGCACCGACATCACTGAGTGCAAGTTTGAGTTGTTTCCTCAAATCGTCTATTTCGATCGATTGCTTGTCGATAGTCGATATGTAGCTGCGTTTTCTAGCTTCGAGGGGCTTTTCGTTCTCATCAACATCATCGACGGTGCGGTCTTTTTCTTTGGTTGAGTCGATTTCATCTCGGTCACCTTTTGGGGTGTCTGCGCGCGGTGGTGCTTGATGAGAACTTCTGATGCGGACCTTTTCTTTGACTTTGGATATCGGTGTCCTTGTGAGAAGTGGGGATGGGGGTGGTTGAGGTCCCATGTCTCCCCAGTCAGCGCTATCTCTTCTGCCACCTTCAGAAGCTGTTCTGTATTCTTCATCGGATGAGAATGGCGCTGATCTGCCTGTGATCGGTGTGACAGGCGTTACAGGCGATGTTGAAGATTCCGAAGCTTGGTCCACGGTATCTTCTCGCAGAATCAGTGATAGCGGTCCTGTGTCGGGGAGGCCGGCTGTTCTTCGCATTGCAGATACCCAGTTGGCTCTTATACCAGCTGTTACCGCAGAAAGAACTATATGCTTTCCATCCCAAGTCTGTCAAAGAAAAAAAAAACATTGATTACAATATTAAACTATGTTTATTGAGTAGTAACAAAAATATGTGATAGATGAGGAGACATACCTCAGTCTCAAAGGCATATCCATTGGTACAACTCGGCAGCTCCACGACCCTCGATATTCCACTCAAGTCTATAACTCCATCCATCAGTCCTCTATGTTCTGCGTGAGGATCCCGGAAGTACAGCAGGGCTGCTCCCCGGAGTACAAACCAGTGTCGTGACCAGCCACCCGGGCCACGTCGTTGCAGCCAACCTGCTCTAGCATGGAGAAGTCTCTCAGCTGGCAGTTCTACCCTGCCACCTTCTCCGTTTTCAGTCGGTTCGACAGCGTCAGTAGGCTCGCTGCCTTCGCTTGCTGAACTGGAGCTCGCTTCTTCTGGTGGAGCACCTCCGTCTGGTGAGCCACGAGCCTAGAACAGAAGAAAAAAATATAGAACAAACTGTCGGAGTCGTTGTTTTTTTTATTTTTGGAGAATAGCAATCCAACTTGAGCAAATTGAATCCTTAGATCGGGCATAGTATAGTGATTTTGATTTTTAAAGTATCAAATATGCTGATGGCCCAATCTGTTCCTCCACCAACCCCAAACCCGTGGTTTGGATGCCTATGGGCGGCGCCGAAGGCTTACTTTGGTGATACGGCTGCTCATTACCGACCTATCCTACAAAAATAGTTCTTGAAGTTATTTTCTTACCGGTAGTCGATCAGGTGGCGGCAGTCTTGTGGGTCTCTCCAGGGTGGGTGGTAGCGCTCGTCGTGACCGCGGCCTGGTGAGGGAGGCTGCGATGTCACGGAGCTGTTCGTCGTACTGCTGGTGTTGCAGCAGTGGCGACCGAACTCCAACTGTAGCTGGAGACAGGCGAATAGATTAGAGATGATTTATGCAGTTATTCTTCAAGTGAGCTGAAGGTTAATGAACATACTTATTGAAGAAGTCAATATTGTAGTGTATTAAAATGTTGCATCAGTCAAAAGAGAATTGCAAAGGCAAAACTTATAAGCAACCTATTCCATCTGGCCTTGAAGACGTGCGGTCTTCGGGGATACAGAAAACAGTAAAAAAATTCGCTGCTTAGCGATTCTGATGAGAAACTGGAGGCGTGCGTGAGTTTAAGCGTAACTGTAGTACCTATGATAGTGAAAAGGACTAGGGGAAATCTATTTACGCAGTTCCCCCGTAGTATGTTTGTATCTAATTGATGAATTCTTATTAAAAAAGATAGTTAACGAACCTTTGCTGCACTTATTCCCAAAAATAGATATTTTACTAGACATCTATATTGTAAAGCTGTTGTAGATAAAATACAATTACTTTCAGTGAATACAAAGTAAGGTAAACGTTGACAACTTGACGGATCATCATCATCATCATCATCAGCCTATAAGTACCCACTGCTGAGCAAAGGCCTCTCCTCATACGAAGAAGGTTAGAGCATTAATCACCACGCTTGCTCAATGCGGGTTGGCGATTTCAAACTTATAATTAGAAATTATAACTCCAGGTTTCCTCACGATGTTTACCTTTACCGTATGTCAGTGGTGTAAATAATCACTTCACACACACTTGACGGATCTATCTGCTAAATACCAAGCTCCCTGGTGATACACTTACCATCATCAGTGACAGGTGGCGTGGTGGGTTCTGCCCAGGTATCCCTGCGTCGTGACCTCGCCTTCTCCTCCCCGTTGATCTTATCCCGAGTTGGGGGGGACGCTGATGATACGGGCTGGTCGGTGTATACTGAAACAATAGAGTAAGTTTTAGAGTTTATTAATCTGTGTGACTTTATAAATTAATTCACTGAGTTAGGGTGAATGAACGCACAAAGACTTAACTTTGACAGATTTTGGTATAACTTTTTGGATCGAGACATATTCAACTCGAATTGTAATTGAGTATGTGTTATCACTCTTCGAGATTTATAAGTTATGGTGTTAAAATGTTTTAAACATTATACCCATTTTATACCTAGATAGTATTCATCAAAAAATTACATTTAAAAGCTATTTACAAAGAGTCAGGGCAATTTTGCTCGGCACGATATATGAACTGGTTGACCTACGCACATGAACCATAATTGAGTGCGCCCTAACGAGGTGATCGCATGCGCTTGCGCATCACCCAATAAAAATAAGACGCGTTTTAAAAATACTCGCGCCCTTTCAACACGATTTATTTACGAGGGAGGCTGTGCTATAAGCCGATGTATTAATAAATGTAATATTTGACATATGAAATTATTGATTCCATTTTCAATACTTAGCTGACCAATACAGGGTGTGTGTTTTCATGGAATTAACCGAGGAAGTTTAATGTTACAATATTGTTTCTTCAATCCAACTTGGGAATCCAATAAAACCTCTAAGACAGAGCAGAAGAGTCCCAATGCGAATAGGTGTAGGTTAAAACTAAATAAGGTAGATGATTAATTTTTACTAAGTGGAAATTTTTAAATGACGTCATATTTTTTTCAATTCTCTTTTCAAACGCGATGACGCACAGGGAATTTGTTGATGTTGAATCAGATCGCTTATGTTTTTACAAGTAACCAGTGCCATTTTGAAATTGGAATAAAACGTGTGGGTTTTTTCAGAACCAAATTGCTCTTTCATTATAATGATTAAATGGTTTAATCGTTCACGACTAAATTCGCCGAAGTTTTTGGGAGATGATTACGGCCTGATGAAGTAACTTATGTATATTATTTTGCATGGCATAGAAAAATCTATCTTTAATCTACAGATAATTGAGATTGACAAGATTTGGTTAAAAAACTAAGACTTTTTAAAACAGAAAGGTTATGAAAATAACCTATGAAACGTTTTTCCTAATCTGGATAAACTACGATTACTATTAAGAAGTAGATCAAGAAAAGAATCAATTTATAAATAAAATATCAGTTTACAAATATTTTGTATAATATGCTAGTGGCAGTTCAATAATAATTATAAAACAATACAGATAAATAAATAACTACTTAATAAACAGGATAACAGCTCATTTATTTTGCCAATTAGTAATATTAATTGCATACTGAAGCAATTCTTATGGCTTGATTGTTCGTAAAAAATATTTTTTAAAGTTAAACAATATTAAAAAACGACATTATTTATTATTTAATTATGTGTGAGTATTTTATTACTCAACTTTTACTCACACATAAAAACGTCATAGAAAACTATAAAACGTCTTTTGTGCATCATGGACATAAATTAAATAATTTTCGAATAGCGAACTATAAACATTGACAAACAATAATGGTAACAGGAATGAAATAAAATTATTTTTTTATTGGAACGTTGGCCGTTGGCTGGCTGGTCACACAAAATAGTTGTAATACCAACTGCCACGTTCATCATACAGGAAAGATTTACAATTGTAAAAAACTGCGAACTTTAATAAATATGAATGAAGCTGGTCGTAGACAAGACGGTGTAAATCATCGACACCCACTGCGCACGCGCATCGCATTGTGCAGCCCGTGCGGCCGTGGGGCGACTGTAACTTGGGAATAAGAACTTTATAACTGTGGACTGTTTCTAGTAAATGTTTGCTAAGGAAAAACTTGAGATAGTGGCCACACAGGAGTTGATTTCATTTAGATTTAATCTCCATTATTTCCTGAAGAAATATTTTGAAGTATTTAGATACGTATTCTCTAGAATTGCAAATAGTTTAATAAAATCAAAGATTTTTTTATAAAGACAGCTTTATAGGTTGTTGCTACATTTATCATGTAGGGGTAAGTTGAGTTGTATAGTTTACTTATTTATAAGTTTTAATTTATAAATTATAAGCGTACTCCCCGACTGTGCCATAAAGATATATGAAAAAAAAAACAACGTCGAAAAGTGAGAGAAATTAAAGACATTCAGAACTTTCTGCAGTTCTGCTGGAAACAAGATACACACATTACGCAACACGCCTCTTCTTAAACGAAGAAGCATTTATCACCATGCTTGCTCAAGGTGGGTTAGCGATTTCAAACATATGTTCAGGTTTCTTCACAATGTTTTCCTTCGCCGTTTGTCAATGTTGTCTAAATAAACTTAGAAATTTATAACTCGTAAAAAATATACCTATTACAATCTTTTTGGTGCTTGTCGAATTTCGAATTCGCTCCCTCGTGTAAAGGAAGCGGTCCTCAACCTTCGAGCCACCACACGACACTTCAATGTACTTCAGCAATATTATTACGCAAAACAAAAGTAAGTGAAGTATTTATGTAATATTGATATTACATAAATTGTATAAAAAACTTGTATCTTAATGTCTCTTCACTGAGTGAAAGTTTATCGAGAAATAATGTAATTAGTCGCATCGTCGGAATTAAACAATTAACACGGAATCAGCTGTTGCTGATAATTGTATTTAATGATTAGTCTGTGACTTGCATTTTTATGTGTAAGGTAATTTATTGTATTTTATGCTACCTCATTGGTTAAGTGAGCAAATGTTATGCACGTAAAACTTGTCTTTGGTCCATGATGTGGACAAAATAGTTTTTGAACATTGAGTTTTTTTAGTAATAGGTGCATAATCTGCAATATATGACTTTGTGTGTGTATGTTATGTATTGTGTTTGTGTGTAATGACAATGAAATTGGTTTTAAAAGCGATAAATAATGCGATAATAGTTTTTGAACATTGAGTTTTAAGAGTTTGTTTTTGTACGTTATGTAGGATTAAGATCCTTAATGACAATTAAATTGTTTTAATAGCGATAAATAATGCTTGGTCAGTTTCAATCAGGATCAAAATAAAGAACAACATTTGAGTTTGAAGGATTAGGATCTCTAATGTCAATGAGATTAGTTTCTAGTAGCTTAATTAGCGAAAAAGTGCACAGTAAGTGTCTATCCTTTCAGAGAATAACCAGGAAGGAAAATAGAGAAGAACGACATATTCTTCTACAATATTCATTGACCTATTATTACAGGCTGGTTAAAAGACTTCGCAAAAAGTTTAGAAGCCAGAAAATCCATTAGTCGAGGTCGTTAACCCCTCAACCATTTACTCATATGATGCCGACTGACAGCTTTCTCAGATGTATGGAATAACCGATGTTTTTTGTTAGATATGCTCATACCGCGATCTAGAGATAGCGCTATGGTAAGTATTTTAAATTATTTATTTTCATAATGAGCTTGTTTTTTTTAATAAGTTACAGTTGTATGTCTGTATCTATTGCGTAAGAGAGATATAAGAGACTAGCTACTCTCGCGCGGTTTCACCCGCTGCTCGGCTCCATTTGATCGTAGCGTGATGTTTTATAGCTTATAGCACTCAGGAACATTGTAGCTATCTGTAAGTGAAAGAATTTTGGCAATCCGATCAGCGGTTCTACAGATTACCCCCTACATACAAACTAACAAATTTTACCTCTTTGTAATATTAGTATAGATGAAATAATGTTATCTTATAGTAATTCTATCAAGTAGAGGATATTTTGCTGAGATCAGCAATCATAGTGTAATTAAGAAAAATGACGAGGAAGCTGTAAAAAAAATAGCTAATGCTATTAGACATCTATCTGAGCTGATATCCTTCCAAACTATTAGTTCAGAATCAAAACGTTAAGAAATAATTGTAATCTTTATTCTAATTAAAAAGAGCTCTAACATTTTCTCCTTTGCCGAGGGTGCGTTTACAAACATACAATTTCAAATACACATCACATCCAGGCCTGAAAAAAATTGTGGATCACACAACGAGTTGTTTTGTGCAACCAATCCCGCGATACGCGATTACTGGAAATTTTCTTCATTTGTAATTAAACCTTCATTATTAAGCAAACGTATAGTTATTTTAGAAATTAAAGTATGTGTAAATAAACCTCACATATACAGGGTGTAGTTAGTCGAGACAAGATGCCAGCTTCACATAGATTGCTGCCTAAGGCTATCTAAATACCTAGGTTACATTTCCAGTATGTAGGCATATCATTACAGTAGTGTTAGGACTCTGTAAGTACTAGATGAGCTTCTAATTGCATGCCTTTAAGGGCTATTTTTGCATATCACTGTATAAAAAGACGTGCAATGAAAATAAATTACAGATTCATTTAGAAATAAATATTAGGATTTTACTTGTATATATTCTTGTTATTAAATAAAAAAAATTTTTATGTGACAAAGCAAACGTGAGACTTTTTACCTGATGGTAAGCAATGGACTCCGCCTGAAACTCAAGCAAAACCATAGAAATTGCGAGTGCGTTGCAGGCTTTTGAGGAATAAGGAGTTTTAGATATTTAGGGATGGATAAATAGGTAAGTTCAGAAAATTTTATTGTAAACCAGAAGTTGAGGAGAAGAAAATTTTTAAATTCTTTAAAATAACTAATAATAGTACATAGTCACAAATCTGTATCGAAATTCGTAGTTATACGAAAACGGTTCGTTTGGCTGCGTGTGCGCAGGCCGCGGGACCTACATTCTGTCGCCACGCTCCGGCGCACATCGCATTGCAATGAAAGTGAAACAACCGCACTCTTCCTAAATACCTGACTACAAGAGAACAAACATTTTTCGTGATTGAAATATTTTGTTAAACTTTCTTTATAGAGATTGCAAAGTTTCTGTTGCAAAAAGTGAGATAGTCTCAACTCAATAGTAATGCGAATAAATTTCACAATTAATATTTGGCAGTACTTTTTAAATAAAACAAGAAAGACGCGAATCTTCGCTATACCTATATTAGTTTAAAAACATACCCAGAACTGTCTAAACAAAAAAAACAGCTGATAGAGATTCAAATGTTTAAAATTCCAACCGAGCTTAATAATGAAGTTTAAATTACAAAAAGGAGGTTTTTATTCCTACCAAAATATTGATAACTGAATACTAATTCATTGCAATAAAATTTAAATTTAAAAATGGAATTGTTGGTGGAAATATTATATATGGGCTTTATTAAACATCTATCTATAAAGCAATTCGTTCAGAAACCTCTTCTTTAGTAAATACGTAATATTTGGTTAAAATTGTTACTGAGAATAGCCGGGGGCTACCGTACACATTTTGCGTGGTAGGGTCAACTCATCTAATTCTGTGATAAAAAAGAATGTGGAAAAAAAAACAGGTTAAACTTTATAAATTTAATTTTAATTTTTAATAGGAACATTAATCAGTCTTCTATTTATCATATGAGCAAGTGTAATCTTAATATATATGAATCAACTCAGCGTAAAATGAGCTTAATCAAACCGCGATGACTTGTCTAATTCTGTGACAAACACCATAATTCGGTGATAGTACTTTTCTAATTCTGTTATAACCGAATTAAGAGAGTATTTATTATTTTTTAACATAAAATCAACAAGTATATGCTTTTAACAACTAATTGTCAAAGTATCATCAACTTACACTCACCTTTTCTATTTAAAATTAATTAAATAATGACAGCACAGTCGCACGCTACCGTGAAACGTAAAACATGGCGGGCGGAATGACAAATTCCGTGATTGTTACTATATCACTCGCACGATCTTAACAAAAATTTGTACACGAAAAGAAGATTTATTACCATACCATAGGGTTAATTTTAATGTATTGGATTTTACTCCTATAACGCTGTGAAAGAGTCCAAACGTGGAATCTCCGAATTAAGTGAGTCACACAATTAGGTGAGTTTACTATACTAGTGGTGTGTCTGATGGCAAAATGCCTTCTCGTGGAACCTTATTGACCCCAAAGTTATTTCAAATTGACATTTACTACCTTCGTTATGTAAGTAATAAGTATTATGAAGTGCTTAAGTGCGTCTCATTATATTTTGAGGTATTATTAATTATGTTTAAATTATTACTTAAGTAATTTTGTTTGAGTGCGCTGCCATTTTGATTTGACCTCAATGTATGATACGTCTTCGTCGTTTTTTTAGGTTTAAATCATAAAATGACCTTACCGCCCTGGGTAGGGCAAGAGGGAGAGTCAGATTCTTACTGAATAAAAAACAACCCCACCCTGGCTAGTCTGTGTCTTGAATACTGTTTATTACCATCATTTACATATGTTTGACACTTACTAAGGAAGGAAGGGTTCTTAGGGTTTTTAACAACGTAATAACATATAACAATACATGCAATTACCGTTAATCGAACGTAACTCTTAAGATAACGATCCCATACATTGTACACCGTACATTGCTTACTAAGACACGAAAATGTAAAGCAATTAATATAAATTACAAAGATACAACGCAATGTAGTGCAGATACTAGGTATACGATGAAAACACTAACATTATGGCGCGATGGAGTTTCTAAATAACATTATCACAATCAGTAATTAGAGGGCGCGCTTGACCGCCGTTAGATCAGTAATTAGGATCTGCGCAAATGCACGCACCGCTGCGTAGGCGCAGCACACATAAATATGGGCGGAGTCTGCAACCAGCGAGAGAAAGGCAGAGTGCCAACTTCAAAAAATTGTAATTAGTTAAATAGATGTGAGGATACTTGAGTTGTTTACATATGTATAGTTTACGAGAATACAGACGAATTATAATTTAATACGGAAAAAGTTAATTAAACATTGCATTGGTCTCGACTGTCTGTCATGATTAAATTTATTGGCCGTAAAAGCTATTAAAAAACCAAGTCTTACAATGCAGATTTTCTGAATTAATTGTTCTTACCGTCCTTGCTTCTAGTGTATGCTGTTCATTTGTTTCTAGTCATGATATATTATCATTATAATAGCATTTGTTTGTGCGGTGGGCAGGGTACAAAGACGTATTAATTAACTTTAGTACTTTACAGTTTATTTAGTTACGACATATATTAATTATATGTTTGTATTATGCCAAGGATTCGTCGCCGGTTAGAATAAATAAATTGGTTTTCATTGCTAACAGATAACATTAATAAAATCATAATTGCATGTGGCATACGGTGTCCCGAATTCGCGACGCGTCCCGATTTTCAGGAGGTCGTTAACTCATTCTGCGAATACTGAATTTATGGGTCGTAATCAGATCTTGTTTAATTTTATATTTGACACAAATAACTGTGCAATTGACGGACTTCCAAGAAATTGACGGCAATGATACATATGTTTTGAATTTTATTAGAATCGTGATTTAGATTTATAATTAATTCTATTTTTTATTGTTCTAAATCTTCTTCCACGAAAACACAGCTTAAATGAAAACTATTGTATTTTTCTGTGTTTATACACTTTCACGCAAAAAGTATTCAATGTGTAAAAAGTGAAATTAGAGATCTATTAACATCTAGGATGTACATCCTAGTACCATAGTCCAGTCAAGTGGGCAGGGCAGCTGGTAGACCACTTTCAAGAAGGTGATATTAAATGGAATACATCATTGTCAAACTAGTCGATAACTTTGTTTCCAAGGTAATGAAACTTAGTAGTTGCAGCCATTGACATCGTTTTACTAAGTAACGTGGCAGGCGGGAGGGACAGGCGGGCTGGGCTAGGCTTCCACGATATTTATAGTAACGGTGCTAAATTTAATTGACGCGAAGCCCTCGTTCTGGAGGCTGGTGTGAATCATCGTCAAATTGTGCTGTGGAATAGGGGAGAAGCTTCGAGGGCCTGTTTCTTCAGTAACTGTATAAAGTAAGCCCTCTAACTTACTGATTTAACAGTGCATAAAAGTGAGCAGGAAATATGAGTGCATTATGTGAATGGTGAAAATATTTGGACATGGAAGCCTGAGAGAAAAATTTTAGATATGCTGTCAGCCCAAGACATTCACTTACATATCGATGTGGTTGCCCTGATCAGTCTTTTAAGTTTAATACGTCTCATTCTCATCATCACGACTAGCCAAAATTTATTCGAAGAGATTGCTACTCCAATAGACCAACAACTTAGCTTATAACTTACACCAGCACTAAAAGCTTACACTATCGCCTACATCTTACAGCGTTTAATTAGGTCTAACGCGTCGTCGCCCGGCCGTTTGAGATTTATGACCCGAAGTCTGGCCGGTGTTGGGCGAGGCTGGCCGAGTCTGGCAGACAGACGCACCTGCTCTTGCCTATTGGTATTTAGTGCCAGATAACGGCCACAATAGATGGTCCCGTAATGGGAGAGATAGGGGGACATTTTGGGAGTGTTATCATTATAGTTTATTTGGCTTTTACAGGGAGTGTCTGTTGTTAGCGGATTGGAAGTCGTGGGGCAATGATTTGGTGCCGAAATGTTTGTTTATGTATTTGTGGCCACGGGAACTTAGGACTGTTTAGCAGTGCTTGAGTTATTTCATTAAAATCCGTATTATTATTTTCTTATAATTCCAAAACATGGCTTACTTATACGAGATTGCTGTCTTGAAGTAATGCTTACCAATCAAAATATCAAAGCCTTATTGGCTCGAAGAATGGAATATGACCAGCCTTCTTTTGGAAGAGTACCAAATACCCTAGCACCCAAAAGTTGGCATCATTTGTACCGTGATTTTGTAGTAACTAACCTTTGGTGTCGATGGGTGTGGGGGCAGCTAGGCTTGGGATCTCGGGCTGTGGTGGCTGTACCCTGGGCCCAGGCCACGTTGTGGTACCACCAGAGCAGTACCTGGGCCTGCTGGCCTGGCATCCGTCTGCTACATCGCGGAGAGTTGATGCATCCGCTGAGTATTCTGAAGTTTAAGGGAAAGCAATTGTAGGAATAGCAGTGGGTTTTATAAGAACAGATGCCCACCCCTCTAAGAAGAAGTGATGGTGTTATGTGTTAAGAAGATAAAACTATTTTTATACGACTCTAGTACAAGTAAAATGTGATTGACAGAGTGCAAGGCAGATTATAATAAAATGTGAATCAAATAGAACTTACTTCTTGTTGTAGACGACTGCAACAGGCTCGCTGTCTGTCCTCCAGGGAACGTCGCATTCCTCTTGTGGCGACCCTGTGGATAAAACAAAAACATTTAGTTAAAATTTTGAATGCCACCAAATCCATTATTAATAGAGTATTCCTCGATATGAATGTCGAACTTCACCTTTCCTTAATTCCTAGGATTAATTTTCTCCAATTGGATGGGTTCCAATTACATACCCTAAACCGAAGAATTCAAACGTCCGTGGCATCCTCATTAGAACGCAAAAATCCTCGTAGAACAGTTTCCCGTTTCACCAAGAGAACGAGTCCTCAATCGCTGACTTCCTAACAAGACAGCATCGACCAATTAGTTAAAGATTTCTAATCGACATCTCTATTGGTGTACTTGGTGTAGTTTCCCTGACCCCACCCATCCTTGTGGAGGTATGTGAAAACAGTACTGATGTCGATGGCTATCGTTTAATTGTTCGAAAGCAGATGCCTAACAAACTGGTTGAAATACAACTATTTGAACTGTTTCAACGCAAATTGTTTTATGCGACACTTGTAGTTGTTGTTGTAAGTAGGTTAAGAATAATAGCTGTTTGTAATTTAGAGTCGATTGGGCGTTGTTTGTGTTTACGCATATTTGACAAAATACCTAAAAAGGCGTTAGGAGTGATCTGGATTGTAGGACATTAATTATGACACTCAATTATAAATAATGTACAAAGTATTGATTTCTATAACTATAAAAATACAAGGATGAAGTATGAAATAAGTTTTAAAAAGGTGATTTCCATATCAAAGAAACTATTCTGATTTCCTCTACTCGTCCACGTGTATGGTTTTTAATCATTTTTCACGATTTACTTATCATTTATTAGAACATTCTTTTGTTTCTTAAAAGCACAGCTTGTGTTTAAAAAAACGTTTTCTAGCCATCTGCGTGGTCCGTAAAAACAGTGAACCTCAAATATAATCGTCATTTTTACCAAGAGAAACGTAGACTAGTAATTTACTACAATAAATAAAGAAAGTCTATCTACACTTATTTTTTTAATACCCATTAGTGGTTCTCTTTCTTAGTTTCAAGAAACAGAAAGACAATAGCAATAATTCTTCGCGTTAAGTGCGAAGATTTATCAGAGATGTCGCTTCGGGCGATATTCGTCTTTTGACGCTGTTAATCGGTCTCAATGGATTAATTGGCAAATTACTTACAAACTGGACCCGACGTACTCGTAATGGATTTATCACAATTGCGAACATACGACAATTGGAATGGCTGGCGAATTTTTTTAATTCAGTTTAAAGATAGATTGAGGACGATGATTTTTATTGGGGTCATTTTTGATTTGTGACTCAGTGATTTTTAGAACTTTCTTTTCTTTTTTATCAAAAAACATTGCTCTAGTACAAGGATTTTCTCTTGTGTCTTGGGTGCGTTTACAAACATACAAATTCACATATACTACAGGCATTCGGACTCAAAACACAATTTGTAGATCACAACAAAGTGTTGTTCTGTGGGGGAATCGAACCCACAACCCGTTGCCCTGACACAGTGCAATCCAAATGAACTTAATACTCCAACTAACTCTTTTTTTTAGGACTTAAGGGACTTTCATTGGTCCTCGTTGTTTCAATGAGCATCCACTCAGCTGAAGAAGTCAAAGTTTTTCTAGATTTAAGTACGTAATCAATTTACTGTTTTACGATTGTATTTTTAGACTCTAGACCCATTCTATTATGTAAGTCAAAACGTCATATAAATTACGTCCAAGTATCAATATTAACTTAGTCGGTAAATCAAAGAGGCCAGTTATAATCACCAACGTAATTAAAATCATCTGTCTAGATTTTACAGCTGCATTCAGTATATTCACATTATTGCAAAAAAATAAAATAAAACTGCAAATAGCTAGATTCAGTCTAAGACCACAAAAAAGAAAACGTCCAAGATAATTTATGAATGCAAAAAACTTATGAATCATCTCAATAGAGAAATATAAAATTAATTGTTTGAAATATAAAACAATAATAAAATTGGTGCGCCGGCGCCGCTTGGCCCGTTAGCGCGTTGAAATCGCGATTAAGGCTCGCGACACACTTGCGATTTTAGTCGTTGAAGTAAGTACTAAATTGTATATTTAAGTTAAGACATTTTTTTGGTGTATTTACTAATTTATGTTAGGAAGACGGTGGTTTATGGAAACATCATGGACTATTTTTATTCAAATAACACTTAATAGCATGGATAATTCAAAGATTTTAGCTTATTAACAAGACAAACGGCGAGGTTCTATGGCAGTCAGATTTTTTATTTTTCTCACTAATGGGAACTGTGTAAACAATCGTTGTGAAAGGTGTGTAGATGTACATTAAAATTAATAATAATTGTAGTCTAGCATTCTGTAAGCGACCTTAAAGGTCATTGAACTACTCGGATTTTACGAGAAGTCGTGATAAGACGTGGGAGCGGATATCAGGAGCGCGGTGCACAGCTTATCAGTATTCATAAAATAATTTACTTTAATACACTAATTAAGGAAGCAATTAATCAAAAAACTTAAAACAACTTACCAATAAACGCTATAAATTTCGAGCACAGATAAAATATCAATTCCAATTCCCGCCATTATTGACAGCTTAATTTTTTTTATTTAAAGTTGAATGAATGTGTCATTTTTGATTCGACAATTAAAATTATTTCCAGCCATTCATCAAGAGGTATTGCGCCTCCTTTTTAACGTTTATGGTATCAAGATCTAGTAATTATTTATTCCATGTGTAGCTAGTGACGAGATATTATATTTAAATATGATCTGTAATAAAATAATAATAGTTACGTATGTGGCGATGACCATTAAAAGATCGCTGTGTCAGTGTCTAGCATCACTGTTGTGTGGCGAGATTGTTGTGGACATTTCTTTGGTATGAGGCTTAAGAATAAGAATAAACCCAGCAATGTTTTCATTATTATTATAAAATTATTATTTTTGTAATTTATATCACGGTAAACGGTTTTTTTTTGTTAAAACGTTAAAAGTACCTATAAAAACGTTACAATTATGAAACATTTTTTCATCTTAGTAGACAAACATATATCTACGTAAAAAATAAAAACTGCATACGTAGAGATTGTATCGGCTTATCCATGTTAATCCAACCGTATCATAACATCGTATTTGTAACTAGACGCGATACGGCGCCGCGGTCAATGACCTGTTCTTGATATTATGTATTGTATGTTGGTACCTACCTATAGGTAGTTTATTGTTAAGGCTCATGCTTACTTTTTTGGGGCTCTAAAAAGGTGTCTAACAGCGTTACCAGCCTGAAACTATAGACAATTTTCCATATAAAGAGGATTTACTAAAATCCCCACTTCTAGAACAAAGCAGTATAAAATGATTTTTCTGATCAAGGAAGTTGCTACCTGCTTTCTGTCAAATGCTTATTCTCTTTAATTGAGGCTGTAATATCATCTAATGACTTCTATCGTCCTGGGAGAGGCTAGAGGGAGGGAGTGTCAGACTCTTACTGACTACTGACTAAAAGTATCAAGTCCCTTCTCCTGCTCCAAACCGGGTGGCGGTATTATGATACTAGTAAAAAGAGGAGTAGCGAAAAATGTATGTTAATTTGTTGTTTTGATAAACTTTATTTCATATACAAGAAGACGAAAGTACCAATTAATTAACATTAATTTCTTCGACTTGCAACTGATTGCCATGGGCCCATTTAATTGTTTCAGATGATCCCATAAGCGAACATAAGATGGACATTTTTATGTCTTTACAACCAACCAATTATCTTTATTCTAAAATCACTATGGTTCATACATGTATGAAGTTATTTTACGATCGTATACTCAAAGACCATGTTAAGATTTTGGACGTGAAGAAAACTTGCCAAGCTTAAAATCTGCACTACGAAAAGGGGTTATTATGGGCTTTAGGGTACACTTAAATATTTTAATAGAGTTTTTAATACAGTCAATCAAATCATTCTGAGAGTATATATGCAACTGAGCAGACAGATTAACTGATGGTAAGCAATCAACGCCGCTCATAGACAGAAAAGTTACAAGTGCGCTGCTAGTCTTTTGATGATGGGGAATTGGATTTGGAGGATGAGGAGGATAAGGACTCCGGTTATAATAAATCCGGGTAAAACACAACGCAAACGACATTTCGTTAGAAAATACAGGGATTGGATGGAACAGAGACATAGTGAGAACAACTATGAAATAATAATGAAGTTTGAGAGTACGGCAGACGAGATCTCTATAACTATGAACCCAAATTGATATGAACTCGAACTGTATCGAATACTAGTGATAGCTTCCCATTGTTGATGGGTTGAAGTTGTTCGTTACCGCCGGATGTTAATTATGGCGTGCCACCATTACATGATCGATTTGACACGCCATACATACCCATACAAATCACATAGCCTATGGTATTAGAATTACAGGCTGTGTGATATTTGTATGGTATTGTCTGTCAAGGATATAACAATAATATGTTATGTATGATTTGCAAGCAAAGTCAAAGTCAAATCATTTATTTCAATTACAGTCACTTTTGAAAGTCAAAAAAGATATTAAGATAAAATTGACAGTCGCAACTTTGTCAGACAGTCAGTCCTCTAGTGAAGCTATTTTCTCGTTCCAAAGTGTAGATTCCTTTGAGAAGAACGAGCAAGAACCTCTATGGTTACATTTTATCAATCAGTTTCACAATTAAATTATTTATTACCGTACATAATTGAGTAAATTCGATTATAGTATTTAGACAAAGAAATATAAAAAAAATATATTAAGGACAATATATTTAGACACAGCAACGCGTCTACGATGTCGCAGATGACCAAAAGGTATAAAATTATAAATACAATAATGGTAATTATAATCCAATTACGAGTTTTCAATCAGGTTTGCACAAATCAACTCTCAAATACTTATCCCTTAATCGTTAGTTTTAAACTTTATTTTATTTCCGTATTCTCCAAGATAACATCGCTGGTCGGACTGGTCAATTATTGAGTAAATCCACTTCTATCATTGCGCTGGCCACATAAGGTAGCCATAGTAATACTATGTGGTCTTCCGTATATCAATGCCAGTAAAAAGTATAAACTTAATTGCATACAGGTTTACAGCAAGAAGTTATGACAGGAATTGAATTTTTTTTCAATGGAAATGTTTTTATGGCAGCCATTTTGTAATTTTAATGTTTTTTTTCATCTTTTGTTAAAGTGTTAAGCTCGAATAGATATTGCTTTTTGTGAAAAGTAATGTAATAAATTGTATGTAAGAGAAATAATGAGGAACGAAGATGATTGTGCAAGATTCGTATGAAAGAA